AAAATATTAATAACTATGAGAATAACTTTCTCTAGTTCCCCTTCATTCACCACAAGTCGAAAGTCAGCCAGAATTAAACCTGGATTTCCGAATGAAAAAGCCTGTGTCTAACCGCCTGAGCTACGGCAGGGCTTCGAAAAGAACAGATGACAATTAGAAAATAACCGACCACATCATCTTCTGTCGCTCTACTCAACACAGATGAAATCCAGTTTTGCAATGTCTAATATTATGAAAATATAAATAAATGCTTAATTAAACTGAATACAATCACACATACACTATATGAATTATCTACAAGTCATTATTTATATTAATTTGAAGACGCTATTATTATGTGATTCTTATTTTTATTTTCGACAGTGGTTTTGCAAGTGAAGGCAGGTATTAGAGTAGAAATCAGAGCTTCCAGTTACCAGTCGTTGTTAAAAATCCATCCTTGAACTTGGTTCTTTTGAAATGACCACCGTAAACACTGAAATATCATCCACCCTAATAGTTTATTTATAATTGGAGGTTACCTCCTCTGAACTGACATTCCAAATGCATTTTAACAAAACATAAGAACTGAAGAGATACTCACCCAGTTCGTCAATCAGGCTGAGCAGCGGTCTCCTTGACAACCGGAAATGAAATCCTGCGATGTCCTTTCTTTAATAATAACATCTCGCACTAGAAAATAAGACGCGGTTGTTCACATGGCTGATCTTGCCATTCAAGTACACAATAAAGTAGACCTTACGTTCACACACAAATGGCTTACAAAAGTTTATGGCTCATGGAACTGTGGATTTGTTTGCGCCCATAATTCACTGCGCGACTTGAAATTGGGTTATAAAAAGCACCATATACAAAACTGGTTGAAATTGGTTAATTCGAATCTTCATTCGCACTGCACGGAGAAACTGCAATTTTGAATGTTGAAATATAAATAAACAATTCACTTTTCGTGCATAAAACACAGTAAAAATTCACAGCGACTTTGTAAGTTAAACAGGGATTTATAATTCTTTGCGAGAGTTTCACAGTGGCTACAGACAAGGTTTTAGGGACAGAGCGAATACCTGAACAATGTACAAAGTTCCGAAGAAGATGTTAAGTTTAAAAATATTGATGTAAAATATGTACCAATAGAAAAACTCCCAAGAAAATTTACAGTTTTATGAAACTGGTAACATTTCTGACGTAGTTTATCGATTGGTTCCTACACAGTTACTTTCAGTTATATAAAAATCAATTCTATTTTACTTTTTGCTTACAGTAAAACCTTAAATTCTGTACTAGTAAAAAAACTGAACTTAATATCCATGAAGGAAACACGAATACTGGACTGTATTGACTTTGTAAAAACACCCTCATTAACAAACCAGTGACGGTGACAGCAACTCAAGTTTGTCAGAGCCAAAAAAATTATGTTACGAAGTCACACCAACCATCTTGCAAACACTAAGCTCGTTAAAAACACTGAACACATGTTCTGAACACAAACAAGGTACGTCAGCTGTCATGGCGCTGGTAATAAATCCACCAACAGCACTTATAAAAAAGTCAACAAATTCTTTTGAAATAAAACATAAAGAGATTCGTTGTGTAATCAAGGTGAAGATAATATCGTCATTGTGCCTAAGCATATGCCTTGGAGGCGTATAGGGGCAGCGGAAAAGATCTCCACACATTCCTAACCTCGAAATGATTTTCTGTGGGATTAAGAAAAGTGTAAATTTTGTCTCATATTCTTCCCAAAATAATGTAATGATCAGACAGTGGCAGTTCGTGTTGTATAGTTGTGAAAAGTGTTCTTACAGTCCGAAGGAAAGTCATAACTTACCAAGTATTTGAACACGAAATGATCGCGAAAATATTTTTGAGAAGAAAATCTCAGAAGATAAAGTGAAAATACAGGAAAAACCTTTGTATTATAATTTATACAACTGACTCAACAGCAACTTAAGGCATTCCAATCAAATCGATTAATATCTATAGCCGTAACGGCCTACCGTGGCCGATCACAAATCACTGGCTGGTACGCGACGGGGGCAGAGGATTTTTCCTCTTGCCTCTACGTCAAGACTTGCTCTGGGGTTCTATCCAATGGGGAAAAGCGCGGCCGAGTCGTGACGCTAACCATTCGCCCTCATCTAGAGTCAAGGTTAGGAATGAGTAGGAGCTATACCTCCAGTCCCCCCACCCCCAAGCGCCTACATGACGTATAGTGGGACACCTGATGACGGAGGCAGTATGACCTCAGAAACGTTGGTTAACATCGACCAGACTACACAGCGCAACAACCCAGAAGACGGAAATCTTCATACTCATCGCCCTGATGACGGAGGCAGTATGACCTCCGAAACGTTGGTTAACATCGACCAGACTACACAGCGCAACAACCCAGAAGACAGAAATCTTCATACTCATCGCCCTGATGATGGAGGCAGTATGACCTCCGAAACGTTGGTTAACATCGACCAGACTACACAGCGCAACAACCCATAAGACAGAAATCTTCATACTCATCGCCCTGATGATGGAGGCAGTATGACCTCCGAAACGTTGGTTAACATCGACCAGACTACACAGCGCAACAACCCAGAGGACGGAAATCTTCACCTTTACTTTTATTTTCTGCGTCTGTTTTGTCCACGCCCCCTTGTTCCATGCAGAGGCAAAGTGGTAAATTCTTTCAGGTCAGGGTTTACAACTTCCTACGATCACTGTCATTACGGGGGTTCCAAATGTTCGGGATTCCCAATACGGAATTTCCTGAACTGTAAACGATCCAGCACCAGACATTCAAAAAGCTGCATACCTCAGCGAAACCTAGGTATACAGTAGACACAAGTAGATATAGCAAAAGCCATAGGACAACAGACAACGTAGACAAACATCCGTCGAGTGGGACCCGAGTAAGTTATCCCACGACTATAGCAATCACAAGCCACGAACTATTAAGTGTCTAGACGCTCTCTGCTGAACGTCCTAGTTAGAAAATGAATGTTTGAACGGAAGGACGAAGCAATTAGTTGGGACCTCATTCAAGCAAGTGGACCTGGATTCCCTTGACTACCCTTCCTTCCTTCCTTCCCTGAATATAAGGCAAGTTCCTACTTACCCCTGAGCACTGTACAGAATGCTTCATTTAAAAAGCAACTAAAGCCCTTCGCTGACCAGGAAACAAAATATCGATCTATGGCACAATTTATAAAACCAATTTTCAGAAAAGTCAGGTGTGCATGCTTCTGGAATAAACGGAAATAAATTTTTAGAGTTGCTCTACAGGTTGCCACAGATGCTGTGTTTCTATCCGCCATAGGTTTAGCTTCAATTGGTTTGTTAATGGGGAAGATTTCAAGGGGACACTTTGTATTTTCAACTGAAAATTAGCAAGCATTTCCAGAACTTCTTCTCCTCCTAATTTCCTAGTGAGCATCATTTTGATTTGTTGTTGTTCCCAAATATTTTAACTTTGTCACACTTTCAAAGGATTAGCCAACCTAACCTTATTTTGCCTGCCTGTCTGCTGATGGGATACTAACATGTACTTAGTTTTTTCTGAATTTATTTCTAGGCCCACCTTTCTACTAGCTTCTAGAAAAACTTGTGTTCCTCTTTATTGTATTTATTTAGATATTCATTAAACTCAACAAATTTAAATACATTTTTCACTTCCCTCTCCTCTGATACTCACCTTTGACCAATAGTGTGTTATAATTCTAATTATGTGAATTCTCTAATCTAGTACCTCTATATTTTTGTATATTTTCTTTTCATGTTAGTCTAAATGACTCGAGTTATTTAATTATTTAAACTTTTAGTACAAAGTAGCAAGTTGCCTCTATCATGCCTATAATCATGCAATTTTAGATAATCAATTTGTTGTTACCAATCTGTATTTATTATTGTGTTCTTGTGACCCTCTCTTGTGTGGTATCTGAAATTGACCTTCTAGCTGTTGATACAACACACTAACAATAAAGATCTGAAATGAACTTAACTGAATCATCATACAACACACTAACAATAAAGAACTGAAATGAACTTAATTGAATCATCATCTTCATCATCATCAACAACTTTTTTGTTGTTATTATGCAATTAATCTCAGAAAATGGCGAACAGAAACCGACTCGGAAAGTAACACAATAAATTTAAATAAAATGAACTTTTAATTTTTTAAAGATATGACCGGGGTTTGAGCCTCATGTCCAATTTGTATTGGGTTTCCTTCCTCGGGGATAAAACGGCCGGAGTGTGATGCTAAGTACTCACACGTTTCATTGGTACAGCTGCAGACACGTGTCTTGTGCGTATGAAGAAAATGTACGCAAGAACTGAATAAAAGATGTGCAGTAAATTAACATGCACGCAATATTTAGAAACGGAGAGCACATACTGAATGCTATTTTTCATGGTCAATACTGTACAAACGAGTTTGAAAGCCCTGGATCAGGTTATCCCAGGTATCTCTGAACTGTGGGAAGATAAACACTGGAAAGTATCCCTGGTAAAGACGAAACGGCAAATAATGATTCTTTTAACAAATAAGCAATCAGACTAAAATACACTGGGTGAAAAGCACTGACCTTAGTACACCAAACACACGGCAATGCTTTGAAATCCACACACAACTTTCGCATAAGAACGTCTCACACCACAAACACAGTTTATACTGTAATTATGTATGAAGCAATTTGCTACATCAAACCTTGATATGGATCATGAACTAGGAGAACAACGTTCCATAATACACAATTTACTTCTGAAATGCTAATAAATCGAAAAGCCGAAGTGTAATAAAACAGCATTGTTTCTTCTTCTAACTCAACGCGCCATTTCCTTCCCCCTCCATATTGCATTCGAATATCAAAAACAAAAGTTAGAATTCTACGATCGACAAGTCGATAATGGTATCGACTTCATGATAATACTACTACTACTATTGACATCTATTGAAGATGAAGCGATGACTGACTGCAGACTTTTGCTATTGTCCTGCCATCGTGTGGCCAATATGCAATATTCACACTGCAACTGTCAGAGAGAAATGAGAAACCATCTATTGTAGGTGGTTGACACATTTGCAGGTTAGGTGTTTTGAACTGAAGTATTTACGTATATTTTATTACATAGAATGGCATTTTTTTTACATCCAAATATTGTGCGGTACAACTGCACTTGTGGTTCTTTGAAACCCATTTCCAGAATATATTTTTGTAGGCACTGCTTGAAAATAAGGTGTGGCTATTGTGTATGTCATGAGGTAAGTTATATTCATTGTATTAACTGTGTTTTATTTTCATGTTATTAAGACATTAATACACGTAATTGTGTACGTGAAAACATTTCAAATTACATTTTTCTAGGCAGACTCTCACTATTGTGCTAACTGCTTAGAGATATTGCCATCGTCTGAGGCTCGTCTAAAGAAAAATCGATGTGCTGCTTGCTTAGATTGCCCAAGCTGCTTGAATACTGTGTCTACTCGGTCAACAAATATAACTGTACAAAATCCTGATGACCCAAATAAGACTGTGACTCGGAAAGCATATTATTTGGCATGTGGTTTTTGTAGATGGACTTCGAGGGATGTTGGACTTCCAGATCAGACAGTTGGTCAGTACATGTTAGAATGTATTTTATAATATTACAGCATCAAGTTTTCGTCATGTACGTTGTTATTAATAATCTTTAGAACTATTTATAATATTAATGAAAGTGTGTTCAAGAATCTCAACGTGTTTGAATTCTGCACTATGTAAACATTTTATTCTCCAATTACACATTTTTGTAAAGAGCAAAACTGGAAATATCTCCAGGACATAAATGACACAATTTGTACTCTTTTTTACTTTTATTCCATATTTTAAGAAATGCAGAGTGAAAGGAATAAGATAATAAGTATTTGTAATTGATTGTATTATAAGTCTGTTTTGATTTCAGCAAGTGGAGGTTGGCCAGAGAGGGAGCATGCCCATGCTGCTCGAATAAGCTCACTTCTAGAACATTACAAGGTTCTAGCATTACGAGAGAGGCAAGAGAGGGAAAGGAAGAAGTTTACACCTCGTCGTAGTTACTTACATTTCTCTGACAAGTTTGGTTTGACAGCAGTAATGGCACGCAAGAGAGCAGGCTTGCCACCATTGGGTGGTTTAGGGATTAAAGATGAGGCAGGAAGCATTCTTGAATTGACTCCTTCAGTGGCATCTGAGGAGGTGGATTCACTTCCTGCAGAAATCTATACCAAGCCAATAAACCTTGCACACGGTGAGAAACAGTAGTCAGTGGTAACATGTTTAACTTGTTTTCAGGAGGTACCTGGTTTTGACTGTAACCATGGGCTGGCAGTCCTAAAGGAATGTTCTTGTGGTTTTTATTATTTGCTTCAGACATCTTAACATGATGTCCCACCTGGTTCAGCTAATTTAGTTTGAATTTCAAAGAAGTTAAGACTGTGCTTGGCATTGATCTGCAAATGATTTTAATGTCAGTTTGAGTTCAACAGAGAATCCCTTTTGAAGTCTATTTATTTGAACACTTGCCAGATTACTAGGACCAGTTTTTTCCGGGCATATAAATTTTAAAATGAGATTTTACTATGTTTTATTATTTTAGAAGGGCATATTTCCATTATTTTCATTTTACTGTACTATTTTAGGAGAAGCAAAGAGTTAATTAAGAGATATTGTAATATGTTATCCCAGTCTTACTTAAATATTTTATTACAAATATAAACTACATTTTCATACAGTGAGCCATTCAAAAGTTATGTAGATATCACTGTTTTTCTTCTGGGTTGAAGATGGAGATAGTATGTTTTCCAGAGCGCTAGTATCCACAAACAAGTCCACATGATATCACAGCCTGGAAGAACAACATTGTCATCTTCACAGTTTTGTAGATGTTCAAGAACATCTGTTATTTCCAGCTGTCTTTGTACAGGATGAAAACATGCAATGAAAATCTTAAATTCATTATAAAGTTCAACTATATGTGTAGAATAGCAGAATACATTTTTTTATAAAAAAAGTACACTTCTAAGATATGTGTAACTCGACACTTACCAGCACACCATCCTCCAACCTCCCCCACATTAATACCTTAACTCTGAAACATAACAACATAACAAGCCCACTAACAAATGGTAATAACTGTCTCCAACAGAGCTGCCAGTCAGCTTCCTCTTGTATTATAGTACAAGATTCAGCCACTAGAATCTGAACCAGAGCTTGTCTAGTTATGCTAGAGCATGTTGCTAGGTTATGTTTACTTTTGGCAGTGGCAACACTTTCACAACGCCTGGCACAGCCTGAATTCCAGACCGAACTGGTATCCAATCTGTTCCCAGCTCACAAACACCTCATGATCAAGAGGTCACAACGATGTCGCAGCTGTGAACATAATGTCAGTAAGCCAGAGTATAACCCTGGCTCCATCAAGTTCAAGATTCAGCTGGCAGCTTAGTAAGTTTTAATGTAGTGTGTATTTTTTATAGGTTATTCTTCTTCTTCTATGGCTCTCCGGTCCGTATTCGGTCCATGGCCTCCTCAATTCTCCTCTTCCATTCGGTCCTCTGTTAGGTCCGTCTGTCCGAGGCTTTGATCGAGCTTTTGAAACATCTTCCCTTTTACGGTGCAAGGTTGTTAGCCTTGCGACCAACCCCCAACCTTGAGAACCAGGGTACCTGTCTTAGTCTGACCTCTCCCCCTCAACCAATCTGGCTAGGGAGGCCCTACCAGTAGCTATGCTACCGCCAGCATAGCTCTTGGGATTTTATAGGTTATAATCTATATTTATTTGAATAGGGCACAACAGAAGGTTTCTCCCTTTGCTGTTCTTTCGGAAACTGCCATGTCTCTGACAAGCTAGAAGAAGTAAATTCCTTCCTTCCCCTTCATGGACAGTTTAAGAGTGCAAGGAACTCTCACAATACATTATTTATACAATAACTTATACCAAACTGCTCCGTGGTTGTTTCTCCTTGATGAATAAGACAGAAAACAGTAAATGTCTAGACATTATGTCCTTAATTGAAATCTGTCTTTTCTTGATGTAAATTTTCTGACATTTAGAATTCATTTCCATTACTTTCCATTGCCTCCATTTAACATTGTCCTTAATTTCAGTTTAAAATAAAATGACACGAAAGAAATCTGTACTCTACAAATTTAATTAAGCACAATAAGATGTTCTTATCATTTTGGGGTTTGAAATCTGTACTCTACAAATTTAATTAAACACAATAAGGTGTTCTTATCATTTTGGGGTTGGTAATATGAGCGCTGCTTGCAGTTACTATGTTCCGGAGATACGTGTTGTGACTTGTGAGCCGCTGCGTATTGGTCAAGAGTGTCAGCTGATCATCAAACTGTGCAACCCAACTCAGCACCAGACTGCCATTGAGTTCCTCCCACTTCCTTCTGCAGAAGAGGATTTGGAGGAACGGCACAAGGAAATAGAAGAAAAGAAGGAAAAACAGGCTGAAAAAAAGAATGCAGAGGTAACTACACTACCAAAACTGGAGAAAGCAAGTTTTATTCTTTGGTAAATGTGTTTGATTTTGTTAAGTGTCAAATATTTTGTCAGTCTTGAAGTTCTTCATGAGCTGGGACAGCTCAGTCTGTGACTGTGGGCTGGATGAAGTGTTCAGTTACCACCAGAAGTAGGAATTCCATCACATCCAGACTGAATCTGGGGCTGACCAAATGCCGTATCCATTGACCCAGTGTCTTTATGTGAAGGTAAATTTGGAGTATATAGCTTACTACTCATCTTTGTCTGATGCTGAGGTTAAGAAAGTGTGGAGTCATAACGCCACTCCTCGTACGTTTTGTTAAGTATATCAGGGATAACTTTGTATTAACCATCATATTTATATGCTTGTACTGTGTTTATGTCTATATATGGACACGTTCAAGATTGAGTATTTACTAATTACTTCTATTTTATTGTGGTACATAATATTTTGTAACTATGGTTGTATTTGTATTAATTTCTCATATGTTTATCCAGAAAACATCACAAGGTCGAGATGATGTAAGCGTACTTCTGCCATCATTGTCATTGTCACGGCAGTTATCCGTCTCCGAGGATCCGCATCCTGCGACTGTGAAGCTTACTGGTGAAGTAATTTTGCCATCTTCATCTGTATTACTTCCACCGAGAGACGATGCTGCCGAGTACGATGACGCAGGGGACACTTACCACTTTCAGGATAACCCCAAGTATGTCTGTGATGATTAATTTGACAACCCATGACTATATCAGTAGTGAATCACATTACTCATCGTATTTCTTTGGATGATACATAAAATTTTCATTCATATTTTTTAAAAAAAAATTATATTAGTAACATTCTTCACTGTGTTACAGGGTTGTGGTGTGGCGTAAAGCAAACAAGGCTGCTGTGAAGATGGTGGTTGTTCCTCAGGATTCTGCTACAGAAACGAGAGAGGTCCTCATAGGCTTTGTGATGAAGTATACATATGTAAATACTATGGCCTCATTAGAGCAGAAGGAACCACAGAAGGTTGACCTGAAAGTCAAAGTATTCATTAATGTTGGAAAGACTGTTGGCTCTTGCATCTAAATATAGAAGTATATATTAAAAAAAACCTTCAGGCTCGAATAAAATTTGTATGAAATATTTTACCAAAGTGCTTCAACTCCTTATAAAAGTTGGAATGTCAGAATATGCTAATTAGTAGTTTGCACTGAAAGCTGTCTTCTGAATAGTTGCGCCATGTAGTCTGGTAAACTTCTACCAGACTACAGGGCACAACAACCAAGAAGATCCCAATTAACACTAACCTTTAATCAAGGATTATTATTAGCTTATTAACTATATCTAATATTTTACCAAAGTCACTGCTAATATGTAGGTTAATTTATTTTATACATGTTGTATTACATGTAAGTTTTAAGATATTTAATTCATAGGCAGGAGAAAGTTGCAGCTCTGAATTTTTTTTAATAATATACAATTGTTAAGACAGCCCATAAATTATCAGAATAAGGACAGGTAAATATGTCTGATGACAACATTAGAAAAAGATGGAAACATGTTTATTTTCTATTTACCCCAAAAAAGTTTTCAGCAAATTAAAATTGGAATGTTAAGAAATGTAAGATTTTTTTTTAAAGCAGGTTGGGTCCAGTTTCTTTCATAAGGTATGTTTCAAACGATGGAGACTGTCTTCAGAAATCAAGTTCACTCATTACTTATATTAACCTTTATCACAGGCAGTTGGTTCATGTGTAAGCAGTGAAGGTTAACATTTGTGATATTAAATGTAATTGCTGTTTTCTGTTGCAGAATCTGGTAACAGCTGTTTAATGTCAGTCACTTTATTGTTTCCATTATAATAAAAGTTACTTAAAGATGTTTTGTTTTAATTTTTAAATTGTTCCTGATAAAGTATAACATGGACCATCAAAAGTTAAAAGCAGTCAAAAATATTTCCTTTCTTTGTATGAAACCTTAAAAAAAAAGTTGGTGGCACTGTCAAGTATTTCCTTTCTTTGTATGAAACCTTAAACAAAAAGTTGGTGGCACTATCAAGGTACAAGGAGCAGTGAGGTTTTACAGAAAATTGACAAATAAACGTAATTTAGACCTCTTCATATTCACAAATAAAAGAAAGACTATTCATATGATCCCATGCTGAAAAATTGTTTCCTGCATTCATTCACTTTATGAAATTGTCAAAGTACATAGGGTTTAAAAATATTTTCTGCTACATTTTCTCTGTGGACTGTAGATTTTAATCCCTAAAGCGGCCTATCCACATATGAGTCTGCCTTGGCTCGGGTTCCATTAAGCCAAACCCATTTGTGGGTGGGGTGTCACGAGCCGAGTCTGCTATGCATGTGTGGTGAAATATATCTGGGCCCGGCTCACGACTCAAGCTCGCCGAGCCAGACTCGCAAGTCAGACTCGTATGTGGATGGGCCACTTAACAGGCGAGTATGACAGAAGAAAATGGAATCTTACAACATAGCTCTTTAGGTTAAAAAAAATTTCTGAAATGAGAAACATTTAAATTGGGCTTTCGCTGTTTTAATTTCTTGAGAATGTGTTAATAAACGTATTAAGAATTTATCAAGTTGTTTTATTGTGGCAATGATTTACAGTTTTGTGATCATTTACAATCTGCGACCACGTCGTCCTCCCTTCCTTCTTGTTGAATCAGAAGGAATGGGAGTTACATCTTCAATACGGCCAATCTTCATGGCAGAACGTGCTAGCGCCCGGAGGGCTGACTGAGCACCGGGACCTGGAGTTTTTGTTTTGTTTCCACCAGTAGCTCGAAGCTTGATGTGCAAAGCAGTGATTCCCAGAGATTTGCACTTCTCTGCAACATCCTGCATAAAAAATAGTAAAAATCTATTTCATACAGGTGTAAAACTTGGTTTCATACTCTGAGGGTATTTGCAAATAGAATGCTGAAGTTGATAGCATATGAAAGGACTTAAGAAAATTATATAATAAAGAGTTTCAAGTTCTTGCATGTTTTACATAAAATACATCTTAAGATTATGTCACCCTACAAAATTTCCAGAATCATAAAAAATTTCTTAAACAGTTTGATGGAAACACAACTTCTAAAACTGCAATATCATGGTTCAATATGAAAGTCTGTTATTAATACTTCCTCAACTTATTCAGAGTGATTAATATTATTAAAAGATTCTATTGTATTACACACCATGGAACTTAAATCCAAATTTCAAAGGCCATATTCAATACTAACAGGAGTCAAGGCATCATATAGTTATAGATGAGTCCTCTTCTATGGCATTTTACTTCTTATACATAACCATACTTATCATGTGGGAAAATTCAATCCAAATACTAATATATAAGCATATATTTTGGATTATACAAACATGCATACATACACACAAAATTAGTGCTCTTTACCTAAACACAGATGTGATATCATACACATATTCCCTACATACAAACTTGCCATAAATATTTGTGTTATGCACTTTCTGAAAAGTACACAACAAAGGAGATGGCTGAATTCACTTTGATGATGAATGCAGTAAGCTCCTTTGAAATGCTGGTTAATATTACCAAACCATAAATCTTAAAGAACAAAGAGTAAGGAATAGCTAACTTACTTGTGCAGCCAACATAGCAGCATAGGGTGATGCCTCATCTCTGTCAGCTTTTACCTTCATGCCACCTGTGACTCGTGCAATGGTTTCTCTGGAAAATTTAACATATCCAATTAAAATGGGTGTAATATAAATACAAAATCCCTAAATATACAAAAGAGAAATTATATTCTTACTTACACCACATTCTTTTGGGATCCTGACACTTTTGCCTTCACAGGAAGAAAGCAACTCCTCTCTATAAAAATTGACTTTAGTTAACTGATTTGTTTAATGGTCTCGAAGCATTCCCTTTGTTTGCTGACCACAATTCAGAATTCTTTTAAGGGATACAACTTTCTTTTATCCTTTCAACATGCTCTAAACACTTTGTAGGTTCAAATTCTGTAATATTAATGGAGGTTCTTCCCTGAAAAGCTGGTACTCAACTGATCAAGCAAGTCTCTGCCTATACCACAAGGAAAACACAACATTTCACCATTACAAGGATCAACTGGTTTAAGAAAATAATCGCTGGTGAAATGTATTGCTACCACTGGGTTTTAAAGGGTTAATGATACTTGAAGCAAGTATTCACCCAAAACAACACTGCAACCATTGCATAAACTATCTCTAATCATTCACTCATTATCAAACAATAAATTGAATTACTTGTAAACTTGGCACAAAATCCGGCCATCATCTATGCTCAGCACAAAAGGCAGGGAAAAGCAAATTAGCATATGCATTCCAGCTCTGAAACGGAATGGCTAATACAAACTATAATCAAGTATCCTAAACAAATGTACGTACCTGCCCGACAAATCAGTGACATGTACGAATGTGTCATTGAAACTGGCAAAAATGTGTGCCACTCCAAAAACTACTTCTCCTTCCCGCACCTGGGGTCCTAGGGACACCTGAACTTGTTCCTGTTGAACTTTTCCCTTTCGTGGAGCCATTATCGACTGTCACAGATCTGAAATAAAACAAAGCATTAACTTCAATACAGCCCAGTGTCCAAAGAGGAACATGGATCAAACTTTGGTTAGATTCTGATATCCACTTTCATCCAGTATCAAGACCCGTTTTGCTTACAATTAGCAAGTGTAAGTGCAAGTAAATAAGCCAGTTATTTATAATACTTGCATATTTTCAATAAAAATTTCTTAAAACAACGAGTTTAATTATATTTACTAACTTATTATAATTCCCGAACCAGAGAAATTGTCGAGACAGGAAATGTAAGAACCAACAAATCGATCTTTTTCAGCTGGAAAGAACTTCCGGTCATTGATATGACAAATGCCCAAATATTTATGTTGTCCAAGAGAACAGTTGGGCGCTCGATACGCACTCTTGTTTCATATTTATCAACTACGAACATCGATTTTTATCCCAGGGGGCCTACTGGAGATCAACAGATCCAGTTACCGCTACCATCTGCCAGAATATCAGTAGAACTATTTAAACACTGGCAGAAAAGAGAAAGGAATCTGGAATGTATTTTGCAACATAGATGCCAAGAACGTATCAGAATTAAGTACAGCATGCAGCTAAGAAGGTCATATAGTCCAACATGGCGCACACGCAAGTCTATATTTCTGCTTCAATAAAACCTTCTTCTCCAAACAGCAGCGTCAAATGGTTACACGTACAAACCATCGTTTTCGGAACCGTCTGTCCTATTTCTGTTTACATACACGGAAAATCAAAAATTGTGATCTGGAGTCGATTTTCAACAATTAACGCTTTCCTGGCACTTGAACCTGTTATACATGCAATCTTCATTCTTTTAACTTCACCTAAAATACAGTAGGAAAACTAAAATGTATAGTGTCAAAATTGCTGACTTTGTCAAACAACGGGATACTAACTTTAGGCATGCATAATATGTTGCGAAATCCGTAAATATTATACATTAAACCAGCACGAAATCATTATGTTTTAGTTATGGAGGTATTCTCGTACTCATTAAATATAATATCGAATCAATGCTTTGCACAGTTGATCGCTGTCCGCCATATTTGTTGTTGTCGTCGATGGGGTAGGCTAAGCTGCAAAGTGCTCGGGTTGGAAGGTTGTGCGGGGAAAGGCTTGTGTAAAGACGTTTCGCAATGGAAGTGTATGTAGTGAATGACGCTTCAAATTGTTATGTATCATGTCTTTGACGTGACTATATTCATATTAGTGCTAGAAGTGAAACTTTGTTTTTGCATCTTACAGAGGAATAGGCCATCAGGTCTGTGGCCTCTAGTTCGTGACCGCGAGTGACCCGTCAATCTATGGGTCAAGGTAGACGTCAGGATTTCGGTGTTTATTTTGAAAAATAATAGCGGTCAACCTGGCTGGCTGTCCTGGTGTGGGGGATGACCCCGCGACGATGTTGGATTGGGAGGAAGCGGATAGATTTTCTTTTGAAGATTCGGATAGGTTTGAAGAAGATTCTCTGTGCAGTTGGAGCAGTGAACCTGAATCTTTGTGTAACAACTGGAGAGGATGGAAACGGCCAATTCTAGGATCTGGTACTTTTGGACCGTCGAAAAGATCAGCAGAAGGTATTCAGTAATTATGTTTTTAATATTGGCATTGATTTTAAAGCAGAGTTGTTAATGTATGAAGTAGTTTCTTTGTTTTGAAATGTTTTACCCCAGAGACAGCTATCATTTTATTTCTTGTATGACGCCAGAATCCATTTGTGTTTTGTGCTGTAATATGCAGATTCCTCAGAAATGACTGATTTCATAGATTGTTCAAGTATTAATGTTACATAAAGTGACAGTAATACTTGTATACTATACATGTCACCAATGAGGAAAAAATTAAATATGATAATTAGGTAAAGTGGTGAAGAGTTCTTTTTAGATATTTGTTTTCAACAGCCTATATATTTTTTGCTATTGTTTTTATTAGGGGTCACAGTGGCTGCACAGTCTGAGGTCTGGGCCTTGTGCCGCTTGGTCACTGGGACCGTGGGTTCAAATCCCACTCAAGCCATGGATGTTTTTCCTCGTTTTTCTGTGTTGTGCTGTCCTGTGTACACGTAGAGACCTTGTGACGGGCCGATCCCTCGTCCAAGGAGTCCTACCAAATGTCTATAGATCAAAGCCAACGAAAAGTTGGGACCCGCAGTGCTCAGGTGCTTGAAGAATGGGTTGTCAGAGTATCAAAGTATCATGAGTATTGTTTTTATTATTAATGTTATTTGACCTGCATGTTATAAAGGAAATTAAACAGACAATAATGATTGGTTCTTTATGCTAATTGTTTGTAAAGTATTATATATCTATCTAAGGTGCAGTGAAAAACAAAATAGTTATTAAAACAGTGTTTTATGAATTTGTATACAATTAATCATTATTTGAGGATACATGTGAAAAGGGGATATGCTTTATTTCTGGGAGTGATTTAAGATATTCAGATCCTTTTGAGTCTGTGAGGTCATGTTGGAAAATATGATTATTTTGTTATTTCTGTAAATACATCTCTTGCTGGTATTTTTCACTATTATAGCAATCTGTCATTTTGTTTAGGCTGTAATGATCAGATGTGTTATGAAGAGAGCAGTTGCATTTGTGTTGCACTATTTCAGAATATTGAATGAATAGTGTACAAATTTAAGTGTTATGAATGTATTGTGGAAGGTTTAGTGGATTTTGATTATTTTCTGTAACATCTGACAGTAACAGAGCTGTTTCCAGGAAGACCTATTTACAACTATATATAGATGGGCTAACTAAATTTAATTAGCATTTAGGTCACCTGTGAGGTGGTATAGACCTTGCTTTTCTTCATTATTTTTTCATAATAATAAGTAATTTATTTCATAGAGATTTCTTCAGAAGCTGATATTTGTTCACCTAGTCAAGAAATCTGCTGCCTTTTCTGGAACTCGTAAATTCATTACTGTGTTCGGAGAATTTGCCGTCATTCTCTATTCCGTGTTGCAAGAATTTACTGCGTACCCTCACATCCTACTTTATTTTCATTTAGTATTATTCTTCCATCTCAGCATAGATCTCCCAAGTGGTCTATTTCCTTCATTTATTGTGACTAAAATTCTGCATATAATTCTCTTCAGCATTAACAATGTGCATACAAACTTGAGCATTGTTAGAACTGTTGTTTTATGGTGAAACAGGGGGGCTTACCTTATATAGAGTATAACTACTTCCATGTCCTTTCCAGTTTGTCATTCAGAATCAATCTTCCCTTGTATTGCGTATAACTGTTGTAGTTGTGAAAGGCGTGTTTAATTAACCCTTTGAAGCGTAGCTTGTCTAAATATTATTTAAGGATTCAGTCCTTACTGCAGAGAAAACACATTTAACCATTACAAGGATCAGTTGGTTTTTGATGTTTGAGGAAAAAGCTGTTATTTTTCTTTGAATCATACATAACCTATAAGTAGTATATGGATATTATGCTCAGTTATTGGCTGTTAGTGCAGATGGTACATATAGTTACCACTGGGCTTCATATATTTAATAAACAACATTCTAAAACAGTTGACTGACCACCATTGAATGATGCAGAACATCAGAGATTGTTTTTTTTCAAATCTTATTTTCCAAATTTTAATATACCTCTAGTACCATTTGTCTATAGTTTAAATCTTTACAGGCAGATCATAGTGAGGTTCAAACTGTGGACTGCAGGTGGTGAATGACCTTCGCATTTTTTGGCAGTTCATGACATCTTGAAGAGGATCGAAAATGTTGCATTGGCTCTTTGAAGCCTCCCCTGTGGAAAATTAATGCAATTATTTTTCTCCATGTAAAAAGTTGCGCACAAAGTGTATTCAGTTGTGATGTCAGGACGTGCTCTGGGTCTAGCTGGTTCCGAGTAAAGACAAATGACTGGCTTTACTGAAAGTGTCAACGAACCTTCGGTTCCAATAAAGAAGTTGAGTTTTTTGACCAGCTGAGCGACTATCATCGTTTTAAGAAATATCCTACACCACAGATTTGCTTAAACTCTTCAGTTTTGCATATTTATATGTAAACTGAGGAGTTAACTAGGAAGTGGAATCATTTATAATAATGTGTCGTGTCATCATTAAACTTGTAATGCTGCTGAATTATTTTGCAAGACCATATCTGTGTCACACAGTGAATAAGGTCATGCATGAGTGGTTAACTTCATCTCTGGTGAATGTGTCCCTGGTACCCATTGCTGGGTGGCTGTTACAATTTTTTTGGATGAGGTGATGAAAAGAAATTGGATTCCCCTCGCAGGGATATAGATTTTAGCCGTCATGAAACTGACTGAGCAATAAGTCTCCAAAGTTACGATTATTTTATTTAAAAGGTAAGTGAAGAAAGACTAAAAGGCAGAGCTGTCCCTGTGTCTAAACCCCACACCACGAAAGTGTATGGGAAGGACATTGGTGAAACTCAAGTGTTCTTAACCTTTGCACTGTATGAAGGTAAGTGGTCAGTTTCACTCTGCCGCTGATATTTTCTCAGGGAAATAACTTCCGATATTCACTGGGTGGCCCTCGGAGCCAGGTTGGACACAGTGACAGAGAAGAATTTATGCCTCTGCAGGGAATCGAATCTCCTTTGTCTAGTCCCGAACCGTCACTTTTCTGAGTTTATGTTCTTCTTCTTATTATTATTTGTAATTTATAAGAAAAAATAAAATAAAGCCTAAACAAAGGATGTAATTCAATTCTAAAGGATTTTGACGACAGTAGTTTACACTTAAAATTATTCATTGTCAGGACTTTTTCCATAGCCTGTTCTTTAAAACCACGACGTTTCGGAGGCTGGTTCTGTCTCCGTCTTCAGGTGAGAGGTACCTACTCTGTTGGGTCCCTTAGATAGAGTGACAGAGACTAGCTCTAAGACCTGAAGACGGAGACAGAACCAGCCTCCGAAACGTCGTGGTTTTAAAGAACAGACTATGGAAAAACTCCTGACAATGAATAATTTTAAAGGATATAATTAAGATTTGAAAGTCTAGGGACTGGAAGAACTCTTCGGAAACATTATCTGAAGATGTGTTATAATACATAGCGCTTATTTGTTTAATTTACGTGTGTTAGTGTGTGTGTTCACATCCATTTCGTGACTAGACTGACTCTACAGTTCAAAACCAAGTGTGTCTGGCTGAGATTTAATTAAACAGTTCCATCCCTTTTCAAAATAGACTGCTCTGACTGCAGGGGTTTCTACAGTTTTGACCTTTCTGTACTTACAAAGTGGGTCACGGCCGTATCATAATCTTCGCCACTTCTTTACTGTAGTAAAGGAAGCTTCATGTTCCATTGGTCTTTGAGCAAAACTAAGTGACTTTAAATGTGCAGGAATAAATACGGGGGTCTGTTGTGTCACATGCCTCGTCATCAAAATGCAGGACGAAATAGTGGTATAAAATTGGTACAGGCTTAGATCATAAATCCATTGAAAATGTGACAACGTTAAAATGTTTCGGAACGACGATGATAAATCAAAATTACATTTACGAGGAAGGGGAATGCTTTGTATCGTTCCGTTCAGAAAATATATATATATATATATATATTTTTGTAAATTCTCGTCTCCTATCAAAAAACGTAAATGTTAAAAAACACAAACTGTAGTCAAATATCCTTTGAAGATGGCTGTTTTTTTGTTTGAGTTATTGCTCCGCATAGGCTGGTAGAAGTTCACCTCTGAAACGTCGGTAAACTTAGAGGAGGGCAGTAACAGGAGGATGAAGACAATTACATAATGAGGAACTTTATAATATTTTTGCTTTTCAATGTATGTCCATTACGGTGATCTTATCAAAAAGGAGGAATATTTTGTGCTGTTCACGTAGCATGCATGGGAGAGATGAGAAATACATACAAAATTTTATTTTGGGAGACTGGGGCGTATTTTAGATAGGATTATATTGAAATGGATCTTTTAGAAATTGTTTTTGAGCGTGTGGACTGGATCCATTTGGCTGTGGGTAGGGACCGATGTTGGGTTCTTGTGGAGACGGTAAATGACAAGGGATTTCTTGGGAAACCTGAGCGACTGTTAAGCTTCTGAAGAAGGACTCTCTAGTCGGTGAGCTGTTCAAGAATCTAGCCTCAGAAGAAGTGTTGAACGCAGTTGGTCTCCAGGCTTGCTCACAGGTCTCCCACAAAGATGGCTCGATATTCTCTTGTTCCTGTTGGAGTCCTGCATCCGCCCCACCGTAGTTAATTCTACGAACTTGTCCCTTCGTTAACAATTACGTTCACTCTAAAAGATTCAGATGTTGAAGTGAACTCATTAAATTACATGTCATAGTCCATGTGTTTTCTTTTAGTTTATGTCCAAAGTCGTTCGAGACAGTGTCTGGACGCGTATTACACTTTTTTCCTTAGTTGTTAGGCTCCGAGGAAATAAAGTTTTTTATTCGGCGATTTTAAATTTCTCGTGTTTGTATACACTCTTATGGTCACAGCTTTTTTTTTCGTGGTTCATGACAGTAACACCCTTTCAATAAAGCTTGAAAACTAGACACATCCCGGGAATAAAAATAGGAACGCTTACGTTAACTAGGATGTTTATGCTTCTTACTTGTATTGGGAAGCACT